TCAAAATGATGTCACAAAGTTTGCAGATGTATTACCACAGTTTTAGTACATATTCTGGACTGTATACTTTTAAAAACAATAATGTAAAAATTGAAAATCTTTTGTGATTAATTTTATCGGACAAAACACATCAATGGCATTCACTAAGAAAGTTTCACAGACAGGCAGAGACGGGTCTTGCTGCTTGTCTGTAGAAGGCTATTTGAGCATTAAGAGGTGCCAATAATTCCAGTGCCAATGAAGAGCGGCAGCTGAACAACAAGCAGTATAATAAGAAAAGCAACAATCCCTCATTTAAAGTTTGTATAAAAAGTTTGAGAACATACATTGAAAACAATGTAACTTTCTGTCAGTGATTCCTGGAATACCGCTTACATGTGTTAAAATCACGGCTGGCACAGAGAGGGTTATTTGGTCTGGAGGTCGTTGTCCTTCTGTGGGGAGAGATGTTTGAGCGTCACCTAACGCGTGACAAAGGACTCCGCTGTAACGCTAATGACGGTCTGCACTCTCTACAAACTCTGGTTTGGGCATTAAAATCACTGCAGCGACTTTTGAGAGATGTGCAGAGCATGAAAAGAGAGTTTAGAAAAAAATCCAAAGAAATTATATAGAAACTGTATATAAAAGCATCAGCTGTGGAGTTTTTCCACCTATAACTAAATAAATAAATAAATAAATACTGCAGGTTGGATCTATTAGCTGGACATGTACTCGTTGTTGGATTTGAAGTGTCCCTTTCACAGCACAGTATTTTTGAACCAGAGCATGCAGGCATTACTGCATGCGTTTAAATTTCGATTTCACATTTTATATAAGTACATTAGCAGTACAATGAAATCATTGTTTTATGCCTTCATGTTTAAAAACACAAGCCATCAATAATCACAGAATGCAAGAAATGACAGTGTGAAGATGAGAGTGCACGCAGGGTCATGTAAATGGAGACGAGTGTGGTCAAAAATATGAATTATGATACGTTCATATTTTCCAAGAGGCTCTGTTCAAAAGTCCAGCAGATACTCTCCTCAGGTCGCTGACATTCACAGACTGATGTTACTTTTGTGTGCGATATATATAAGTCTGGTGACAGTTTGGCAGTCAGAGTGACTGACGGAATAAATTATAGCGTTGGGATAAAACAAAGCAAAAATGCCTGATTGGCAGAACTTTATTTATATACTTTGTGTTTTAATAGAACAACAACAATTTGTTAAGCTAACAAAAGAAACTAATCAAAACCCAAATGGATTTGCAGATTACATGGAGTAGTCTTGTGTGTGTGTGTGTGTGTGTGTGTGTGTGTGTACATATGATCTATATCCTACATGTTATTGAAGTGCATGCAGCCGAATTTGTGTAGGTTCACCATTACAAACAGTTGTGTTTTAGAGCTGTCCATGGTGCTGAAATTCAAATAGTTTGAGTGCAATAAAAGTTTATGAAGGAAAAATGTGTTATTTCACGCTCCTGCCTGGACTTTTACGTGACTTGAAATTGATGTAAGTCTGTGTGTGCGTGTGTGTGTGTTTGGGTCTTTTTTAGAACCAGAAATTGGAATGGCACTATACTTAGGGGGCCCAACAGTCACTGTGGGGATCAAATGCCAGTTCTCATGAATTTGAAGGCATTTTTGAGGCCTAAAATATGGTTTTAGGGTTAGGTTACAAATAGGTTAGGGTTAGGCATTCATTTCTGGTGGTTAGGGTTAGGCTATAGAGCTGAGGAAAGCGTTTTGTCAATTCTTTGTCCTTACTAAGACATGAAAACGAGTGTGTGTGTCATTAAATAATAGAATGATGTGAACATTTTCTATCATCAAGTGATAGAAAAGAGGAGGTTATTGAAATTACAGCATTATGTGATGATCTTGTTTATTTCTTCTTCACTTTTTTCCTGCTGAGTGTTTTTGACAGCGAAAATCTCTGGTGTATGTGGGGAGGACAGTAAAGAGTGGAGCAGATAAACAGGAGATACTTTAAACACACACAAAAAGACTGGATGAGTTAGTAGAACTGCAGGTGTGAGCTAAAAGGGTAAAGACCGAAAATGTGTGACTTAACACTGTTTCAACTGTTCAGCTGAGATCCATCCACTTATGCCAACTAATTACAGTTAAGCTAAATCATTCATTTTTTTGTGTGTTGCTCCTTCACCTGCACACTACTGAGTCTTTTAGCTTTTGAGCCCAATTGTGTGCAGTATGGAGGGTTGATAGCACTACCCTGGTGGGCGTACATTAACCTCTGGAGCCCTGGTGGCAATTCTATCAGTCAGTCAAAATAGCAGGATGACTGGACTATAGTGCATATCGCCCAATCCTACTGTGTGTGTGTGTGTGTGTGTGTGTGTGTGTGTGTGTGTGTGTGTGTGTGTGT